GCTTCAGTCCTACTTATAAAACCGAATAATTAAAATTATATGCAAATTCACCTGTGTACTTCAAGAGAGGAAGAAGTTCCTTGCAATATGACCTATATTTGTTCAGCTCCATGGAAACCATTTCATTCCATTATCCACACACAATTTACATAAAACTAAGGGGGGAAAAGGTAAGAGATGTGAAGTGTGCAACCTGAAAGAAAACAATAGGACGGTGCTCATTACTGAGAAGTACAGGAAACCCAGAGGCAATTCCTGAGCCAGGGCATATATAACACCCACCTATCTGTATCTGTAACTGTCTCTAATAGTGTGAGATACAGAGAGAAGGAAAATCTCCACTTCCCATCCTAAAACACATGCGTGTTTACTGGAAAATAAGCTGTGTCCAATTGCAAAATGATAGTGATAGCTGTAACAGTAATATACAGATACATCTAAGTCCATCAGGAAGAAATAAGCCAAAAAGGAAGAAATAATCCAAATGACGAAGACACCAATCCTGCTGCTGCTTGAAGTACTGCGAGTAATTGAAGAAAAGTCAGAGAATATTGTTCGATTTACATAGTTACTTGCTTCAAATTTTCACTTCCTTATGCCTTAGAAACCTGGCCATCCCACAGATAGATTGCCAGATTGCCAACTATATACTCAAGAAAGCAAACCAGAGCAGCCACCCTCCCCCACCCCCATATTTGACTATCCCACAAATACTGTTTACATAACATCTTTTCTTTCTCAAAAAAAAAAAAAAAAAAAAAAAAAAACACTGGCTCTTTGCACTTTTTTTTTCCATGGAGTTTACTGTTCTGAAGCATGAATGAGTCCTATGCTTCTCTCTAAACAAGGAAAACGGCTCTTGCAGTGGAATAGAAAGAACACGAATACCTGACCTTGAGAATGTTTGCTCTGTGTGTGTATTCCACTTGAAGTAAAATGGTCCTGGATTTGGGTATTGCTGAGTTGAAAACACACGCACACTGTGCCCTTAGAGTAAAGCTGATTTAGCTCTGACACTTCCCTATTTGCTAAGCCAAAGCTGTTGCACAAATCACACAGTCTGTAAAGGGGAAGGGGAAAAAACTGCTTTGTCCAGTTTTTCTGCCTCAGGGCTGAATCAGATACATCTCAGCTTCCATTGTAAACCTCTCCCAGGATGTGAACTCCTAACCGTGACATCAGCAACCTTGTCTCGGACAAGTACAGTTTCAGAGTGACAGCCTGAGGCAAATATTCCAAGCCACTTACCAAAAAGCCCAGTGAATTAAATACTTTATGTAATTTGATTTACAAAAGGACTTCTTCCAGGGTTATATTTCTAGTATTATTTGATGAGCACATTTAGTGGGTAAGAAGATGCAATAGCTGGTGAAATAATAATGAATGTGAATGAATGTGGTCTTTCTAGTTGACTGCCATAAGCACCTGCTTTTTTATTTATTTATTTATTTTTTTGACAGGCAGAGTGGACAGTGAGAGAGAGAGACAGAGAGAAAGGTCTTCCTTTGCCGTTGGTTCACCCTCCAATGACTAATACTGCTCTTGCTTTTAAATCTCAAAAAAAAAAAAAAAAAAAAAACTAACACTGCAATGAAGGTGGTAGTCATGTGTGTCTATAAACATTTTTCCACTTTTTGGATTAGTGGGTTTCTGAATGTGAGTAAGGCAGTTGCCAAAGCCATAATTCATTCTAACTGCTGGGAAAATTATCCGATTATAATCTGAGTATCATTTATTACTTTTATCATCATTATTTCTCCTGAAAAGACAATGATAAGATCTGCTTTGGCTTTCATTTCCAGTGAAGACAACTATCTCTGCTACAGCCAATAATGTTTTATTTTTGTATTTAAAAAGGAATTTAATAGTAACTATAGCAATAAAATGAGATTGTGAGGTCAAATAGTAAGAAAACTTGTCAATCTAAGCTTATAAACACTGAGAATCTGTACCAAGCTACATCAATTTCAAATGAAATTCTGTAACCAATGGTTTTATAAAGTAATTCAAAGTGAAATTATGACTACTTCTCCAAGGAGAGCAAATAGTTCCAATCAGATTTTGTTTGCCTGATTTCACGGTGGGTTACTTAATCTCATAAGGACACTTAAGACGCATTATTGTCTCCTACTGTAGCAAGAAAGCATGACTTCAGTGCCAAGCCTAGGGTTTTACATTTACACCCAGTATTTAGGGAAGGTCCACTGAAAGTTTTTATGTGAGACCAGGATTTGAGAATCTAATTTGGCAATAGTGTGAAAAAGAAATTGGAAGGAAAGGAATATAGTTGGAAGAAAGGTCATTGAAAACACAAGTAAAATAGTAAAAGGAAAATTTAATTGCAAATTCACCAAAGGAAAAGAAAGTGATAGAAATAAACAGTAGAAGTAAACTTTTGAGAATTTAGCAAATGGTTGAACACAGGAACTGAGGGAGTCAGGAATATGACAAGGTCTGGAAAATCATAGAAGTTGCATTTTGTTGGGCACTTACTGCATTTAGAGATCTCCAGCAAGAAGCTTCCAGTATAAAACAGAATTTCTGGTAAGATATAAAGTATAGCAATAACAGCATCAGTAATCATCCATTTAGAGGTAAGAACCATATGAAAGGGTAGAAACACTGATGATAATTAAGGACGGAACCTTGGAAAACACCTACACTGTAAAGTTAGAAAAGACAAAAAGTGAAACTGTAGTTGAACAAGTGTATGAAAACTTAACAAGAATAGGAAATTATTGAATTCTAATTTATTAGATGTTGCAACCTTCAAAATGGGAATGAGAACAGAAGCAAATTACCTTGGAAAAGTTAGCTTTAATGACTTTGAATAATTTCCCATAGCCCGTCCTGTAAGCTAGGAGAAGACCATTGAAAAGAGAAGTTAAAAGTGCCAGGATGCTGGCAGCTGCACTAAATATGGCATTGAAGACACAAATAAAGCAATAGGTGGAACACTGCCACCTATAATGGGTGGGCAGTGTGGAGGTGGGGGGAAAGATAAGAGAAATTTTAAGGAAGTAAAACTGAGGACACTTGAGATATGTCTAGGGTAACTCGCCAAGGAAATGGAGGTAGGGAGGACACAGAGCAGGATCTGCAGCCTTGAAATGAGTGAACATTCACCATGAAAAATAGGAATACAATAAACAAGTCATTTGAACTTATCACTTGCATATCACTATCTATTTCCACCGTGGGAGGTTTTTTCCCATTAGTTTCCTAGATTCCAGCTGTTTTCAAAATCATTGGATAATTAATAAGAAAACCCAATGAAATTTGAACTCTGCAGCTGAGGTCTCAATTGTGCCCATTCTCCTTCTACACACTAAAAAATTAAAGACTCTGACCCATTACTACATTTCCAAGTGAAGAAAAATCTAAAGACATCATTTCTTGCTTTAATTAAACATACTGCCAGTACACCAGGAAAATCAGTACTGACTCCATGGGGAGCAAGTGCCTTGACAAATTCCTTTGGCCCTTCAAATCGTTTCTATCATGTCAAATTCTATTGCCCTACAATATAGACCATTTTTTTCTGGTCCTAAATTGTCACATCCTGTTACTCTAGATGAGTCTTTTAAGTGCTGAGCTACACCCTAAAGAGGGATGTTTTCCAATGGTGGGTCCATGGCACAGTTTCTTAATAAGAATCTGAATTTCAAATGAAAGAACAGATATGGAAAACAGAGTCCTGGAGCAAGCATTGTCAAATAGAACATACTAAGTTAAAAGCTAAATGGTAGTGGATTTGAAATTCTAGCACATAATTATATAAATGCATGTGACAACAACAGGAGTCACTGTGCACTTACTCCTCATGTAGGATCTCTGTCCTTAACGTGCTGTACATTGTGATTTAATGCTATAGCTAGTACTCAAACAGTATTTTTCACTTTATGTTTCTATGTGGGTACAAACTGTTGAAATCTTTACTTAATATATGCTAAACTGATCTTCTGTATATAAGAGAAATGAAAATGAATCTTGATGTGAATGGAAGGGGAGAGGGAGCGGGAAAGGGGAGGGTTGCGGGTGGGAGGGAAGTTATTGGGGGGGAAGCCATTGTAATCCACAAGCTGTACTTTGGAAATTTATATTCATTAAATAAAAGTTTTAAAAAAATAAAAAAATAAATAAAAAAATGCATGTGACACAAAATTTTTTTTTGGAAATAAACAAATGTCCATATTAGGCAAAATTTAAGTCTTCAGTATTTAAAAACAAACACCAAGAACTAAATTGACAGTCTGTCCCATAGCCTACCTGACAAAAATACTCATTAACATTAATTACTCATTAACATGTTACATTAACATCAATTTTTTTTTTAATCTTGATAGGAATTCCATGAAACAAATTTGAGCCCCAAAGAATCTTATTGGAAAGCACAATGAACTCCACCAAATTCATCAACATGGTCAGGGTTATCCAATACCTCTTTTCTGAAAGGAATGGATTCCTGCAATGATGGAGATATTATTTCAACTCATTTTCAGCTCAACATACATGTGCCATGCTCATATTAGGAAGGCAAAAAGGAAAACTTAGAAGTCACCTATCTGCCCCAGTTCTGCCTTCATGAATAACAAAGCACATTTAAGAAAATCAGTCTCCACATCTCCCCACAATCTCCCTGTCCCTGTCCCACTTCCTCTCTTTCCTCATCAGAGGTTTCTAGAGACAGCTAGACTTAAACTCTTCTTTGAGACCATCTACTCTAGTATTTTATTGCCACAATGTTTAAATTTTTCATTCAAATTAAATTAAAAATTTACCCACTCTAATACTGGTATAAGCATTATACTTTAGTTTTCCATGGGGAACAATTTTAGATTCTCATCTTAAAAAAAAAAAAAAAAACTGCTTTATATAACAAGAGATGTTTACCAGCTAAATATCCAAAGATCTTTTAATCTCCTTTGGAGGGCCTATTTTCTTTCCCTGTAATGATTTTTGTTGTTTTTCTCTGGGCTAGTATTGGTTTTTCCACATACCTTTAAAAATGCAGTAGTTAAAACCAGTCATATTCAAAGCAAGATTTCATCAGCTTGAGAGTGCCAGAACACACACTTTTGAGAGTGTCCTAAGGATTGTGGTGATCTTCACTGAGCCTGTAGCCTGTAGCCTGCAGCTGACTATGTCTACCAAAAATTAGAAAGAAAATAAGAACAATAAATGATCCAAAGAGAAGGCTGGTCTTCCACCAAGTATACCACAAGTATAACAGGCTAACAACAAAGGTTCATAGATTCCCAAGTGATGGGAAAATTATAGTTTTTAGTTCCTTGAAACGTGTGTTGGAGACCACTAGTAGTCTACCAAACTCTGAGTCTTTTTCTTTTTATAATAACAAGGTTGTAGCTAGGCACAGGATTAGACCATGTTCCTCAGTCCCCTTGAAGTTACAGGTGGCCTCAGGACTTGGTTCTACTCAAGGAAATAGGAGAGATGTCTGCCACTTCTGAATCTGAGTTAAAAGAAGTGAATCCTCTTCTGTGCTATCATTTATGTTCTACCTGTCGAATGCCAATGGCATTGAAGCTTTAAAGCAATGGAGACTTTGGTCTCCCTGAGGACATCTAGCAAGAACGGAGCTATCATTGATTGCCATAATGGAGTGTGGGGAAAGGGAGAATACTATTGGCATCTAGTGAGTAGAAGCCAGGTATGCTGTTAAACATCTCACAAAGAACAAAGAACAGGCAGGCCCCACAAACAAATAATGTCAGCAGTACCAAGGTTAAGAAACCCTACATACTGTGTCAGAGCTATAATATCAAATAGACACAGATCCCTGGATGACTACAAACAGCAGAGCCATCCTGTCTACCTGAAGACTATTCAAGACCATCTCCAGAGCTAGATAGAAAATTCTATTGTGTTAAACTGAAGAAATTTTTAGTTCATTTGTCACCACAAACCAGTCTAACATAACAACGATGCCAAATAACATGTAATTTTTAATGTACAAATTATCTTGAGCATCTACACATGTTGATCTCTATCAAACTTTTTCCTCCTCTGCCCTTTTTTACTCTTTGTTACTATTGTTCCTTCTTTCGATTTTTTGGCAATTCTAAGTCCTGTTTTATGTCTTCATGTGTTTACTTCTGCAAGGTGGTCTTATTAGTGTTTGCTTTCAGTTTTGCTTGGGTGTATGGTACATAATGGAACTAAAGCTTCATGGGAGCAGGGATCATGCCTTTCTTGGACAAAACAATATACCTAATATCATACCTAGTGCAGAGTTGAACTTTAAAATATTTATTGAATGAATAAATGAATTGCAGAACAGAAGATTTGAACAAAGGAAAACAGGCTATGTCATCAGTCTGACATAAGCCATTAATGAGACTTCAGCTAAAAGTGATCTAGTATCATGCCAGAGGATCCCAATACAATCCCATCAAGGTGGCATGTACCAATGCCATCTCACTAGTCCAAGTGATCAATTTCAGTTCACAACTGATCACACTGATAGGTCTAAGAGTCAAAGGGATCACACAAACAAGTCTAGTGTCTGCTAACACTAGCTGATAGAATCAAAAAGGGAGAGAACAATCCATCATGGGAAGCGGGATACACAGCAGACTCATAGAATGGCAGATGTCCTAAATAGCACTCTGGCCTCAGAATCAGCCCTTAAGGCATTCAGATCTGGCTGAAGAGCCCATGAGAGTATTTTAGGCATGGAAAGCCAAGACACCCTGGGGAAAAAAAAAAGGAAGACCTAAATGGAAGATCTCTGCGAGTGAGATCCCAGTGGAAATAATGGGGCCATCAAAGAAGGAGGTACCTTTCTCTGAAGGGAAGAGAGAATTTCCACTTTGACTATGACCCTGTCGGAATAAGATCGAAGTCGGCGAACTCAAAAGGCTTCCATAGCCTTGGCAACTCATGACTAGAGCCTAGGGAGATTACTGATGCTGTAAACAAGAGTGTCAAATTGTTAAGTCAACAACAGGAGTCACTGTGTACTTACTTCTCATGTGGGATCTGTCCTTAGTGTGTTGTCCAATGTGAAGTAATGCTATAACTAATACTGGAAACAGTATTTTACACTTTGTGTTTCTGTGTGGGTGCAAACTGATGAAATCTTTACTTAATATATACTGAATTGATCTTCTGTATATAAAGAGAATTGAAAATGAATCTTTATGTGAATGGAATGGGAGAGGGAGCGGGAGATGGGAGGGGTGTGAGTGGGAGGGAAATTATCGGGGGGGGCATTTCAATCCATTAACTGTACTTTGAAAATTTATATTTACTAAATAAAAAATTAAAAAAAAGTGATCTAGTGTCTATCATCCAAACACTCACAAAACTACCAGTGAATGAATCATTCTAGATTTTTGCTTAGAAGTAATCTTATACTAACCATATTATAAACTCCAGGATCTACCTTCCTGTTTCTGAAAACTCATTTGTTATATAATGGGATCCCCTGATTCTTGTCATTAGAGAGACACCAATTTTTCTATGCTGAGATCTGTTGTAAGCACCAAAAATGAAGTTTTAATCCTCAACAATACCAGCAGTTCTCCACTCTTTCAAATTAGGAGGCAACTCCCAAAACAGGCAGCAATCCACAGTGAGCTTTCTTCCTGGGTTCTTAACAAGCTTTTTCACCTGTGAAAAGGGAAAGAAATTATATACACACACATACATACACATATATATATATATATGTCACTTTCAGAAGACCTTTAAATGGCAATTAAGGGACACACCTATGGCTGTTGATTGATGGCAGGTGTAGTGCACAGTTAACTGCAGGTTAAAACAAACACATAGACCAGCACTATGCACACAAGAGATCTCCGTGAATGGAGTGGTGTGTTTAGACAACGATTGCTGGAGAACAGTGTACCTGTAGTTAGCTTATTCCTGGAAGGATATGCTATCGACATGTTTCAGATTAGAAAAATATAATCACGTTTTTTCTTGCTGACATAGGGTACTAACTTCATTTAACTTAGTGATTTTATACTTTTCTCCTGACTTAGATTCCAGTACCAAAAGGAGACAGTGAAATGCACAAAGCTACTAAAAGACACAAGTAGGCATAGGAAATTTGAAGAATCATCAGTGGCTCAGAATTGAATAGAAGCTAAACTGCAAATGTGTTAGCTTGTCCTTCTAAGCTCTTTTACAGTCAGAATCCAACCTTCCTTGATTGAATTAGCTCACAGACGTTTCACTGAAGTTGAATTTCTTTCTTGCTTGCTTAGGCTATTCTAAAACTAGAAAGGCCACTCTTCTCTTCTTCACCTATTGGAAGCCCATACATTCTTTGAAAGTAAACTCAAATCCTACATCATCACACCAAATAATTTTTCTCTGTCACAGTCTGAAACTTTCTCTCTGCCTCTGGATTCCTCCAGCAATTAACCATGTCTTACCTTGATATATTTATGCATTGTCATCTGCAGAATTTTTAAGTCACACACTAAAAATGTTACTTTATTTAACTTTTCAAGATGAGAACAAGTTCCATTTGCCCCTGTGTTCTGTATAGCACACACATATAGTAAGCACTTAATATGTAGGATATTTATTGCAATTAAAATATTTAAAATAAGACCAATTCAAAATGGCCTTATGTACATGGATGTGGCTTATACAATCTGAAAGGCTGTTTTAAATTAATTTGAGGTTCAACTAAGAACTATGAGTACTGCTACTATTGCTACAACTTGATTATATTAATATTTTATTGCCATAGTACTTTTATTGATGTAAATTATACGTCAAAAGGGCATGTTCTGATCTAAAGTAGATAATTTGGTGTGACTCCCATTGTGTTTGTTTAACCAACTTGGTGCAATGCCCAGTGGAACAAACAGGATGATGTGGAGCCTAAAGACTAGTTAGAGGTGATGCTGATGTAGCTATAACCTGGGTTAACCTTTGTTCTCAAGGCTCCCTCACCTACTGAAGTTTGAATTCAGTTCTTGCCAGAAATCCCTGGTTGTTCTAAGCAAAAGTCACTTTTAAATGTCAGTCTTCTCAAACTTCACATGAGCCATAAAATTTTCTTAACCATTGTCATTATAAGCAAATTTTTCAAAATTTATTAAAATTAAAAAGAAAGCTTGTACTCGATTTCTCATGCTAGTGACTCACACTTAACAATCAGTTGCGACTTACACCACTGAAAGACAGGGTTCTTCATTCTCCCATATTCTCAGAAGAAATCATCTTAATAAGATATTAAGAAAAATAACAGTACTATACAAGCACCAACATTTATTATTAATATTTTTCAATTTCTGCACAGGACAAACATTGTAAATCTGTGATTTATAATCAGACACTAACATGAAGAAAAATTTCCCTGAGTATAGCACTGAATAAGTATCTCCAATTCACCATGAATATAACTCCTAGTGGAATACATCCATTTCAAAATATATTTACTTTAGGACCTTTTCATAGTTTGTTTTAAAATAAGTTTGCCACCTTTTATTATTCTGATGACCACAGTTTACCTATTTATGAGTCTGAGAGCCTTCGCTGAATTGTTCCTATACAAACTTAAGTCACATAATCCTCTCTCAAGAACACAGAAATGTCGAGGGTAGGAAAATATCAAATTAATAACACAGCAGTCCCTTCTGCCTGGCCCCACCCCCACAGCAAGTAGTCTGATGAATGTGACTCTACAAACTGCACAAGAATTGAGAGCCAGACACAACTGGCAACTTCTAAAGAAAAGGAAATCAGGGATTAGTGCATGTCCGGCTATTGCTCAATTATATCACAGGAGAAAGCAAATTTGCATGTTTCCAAAGTAAACTACTGGAGCTACTGTTGCCCTCCCCTCTGTTCTACACACAAGCTCATGATGTGGCGAAATGCAGTGCACCTGGCTGCATGCAGTTGGAAAGTCTGGCTTTAACCCTTGAGCATATAAATAAGCTCTAGGCCATCACGGTAATCAAGACCAGACCACAACTCCCTTCTGTAGAAACAGCACATGAGGCTTCACTGTTCTCTTCTTACTATATAAAAACGTTCCTTATATTTAATCCTAAACTATATTCAAACACACCTAAGAAAAATCCATGCTAATTTTAAGGATTTGTTTCATTTACTTGAAAGACAGAGTTACAGGAGTGGGAGAGAGAGAGACACGGAGATCATCCATCTGCTGATTCCCTCTCCAAATGGCCGCAACAGCCAGGAGCTTCATCCAGTTCTCCCAGGTGGGTGCCTGGGCCCAAGGGGTTGGACCATCTTTCAGTTGCTTTCCCAGGATCGTTAGCAGAGAGCTGGATCAGAAGTGGAGCAGTTGGAACACAACTGGTACCCATAATGGATGCTAGCATTGTAGGTGGCTTACCCTGTTATGCACAATGCCAGCCCCCAAGATCCATGTTAATTTAAACAAGGTTATTTCAGAGCTCAAAAAGCAGATAATGGTAAGTTTGGGAGAATCAAGAGAGTTACAATTCATCTTTGGATAACCAGAACAGTTAAAGTCTGAAAGTCATCTATTTAATATAGGATTGTGACTTCCAGGCCCAATTGAGTAGAAATAAGCTAAAAGATACAAAACAAATCTTGGGCCCCAGACATCCCACATCAGGCCTACCAACTGGGGAATGTTATAGAATTTCTCCTGCTTAGTGATTAAGTGGCTCCTTCTTAAACGTTTTACAAATCTCCCACAGATCCACAAACTTCAAAATCCCATTTGCGGTATACACTGTGTATCCGTCCAAAAGAGCTGCCCCTTGAGATTGTTAGTCATGATCTTTTTGGGAGTCTGATGAAGCTGAACAAACTTACATCTGTATATACAACCAATCTTGCATTTATTTGTAGTGGCTTAGAAGTAGCTCAAAATTCCACATGTGGACATGTAAGTCCATGAAACCAGAGTAAGAACCGGTGCCTTGAAGGGTGAGGAGGAAGAAAATGAATGGCCACCAGTGCTGCTGGTCATGAAGAGAGGCAGTTAGGCTCTTGAAAGGGACTAAAGTCTTTAGAGCCCCATAAGTCTTCTCCATCCCCCACCTCCCTTCTTTGGCGTCCTTGCCAGTTCAAAGATCCAGATACTGAACTCTCCAGAACCACCCACACAGCCCCTTTCATCTACAAGAGAGCGCCCCTGTGCAGCTAACTGTTCACTTACAAAAATAAAGCATACCTCTATCCTTTTCCATAACGGGTCCAGAAGAATTACCCTAACATGCATTTTCCATGCTATAAAGTGTGTCTTAACAAAACACAATAAACTCAACAGTAATGTGATTACCGTACTTGTAAAACATTTGGTGTTTTAGCAATATGCCCTTAAAAAAGTATGCTTGGAAAAAAATGGATTCTGTTTCAACAGTTAAAAGGACATAATTATTTTTCTGCTGCATAACAATTTTTAAATGTTAATGAGTTAAAATACAGTACCAAAACAGCTCCAGTGCAGTAATACAGTAATACAGCATATCATTTGGCTGCCTGGTTCACCTTCTTTTGTTTTATTTTTTTTTAACAAATACTATACAATAACCTGGGAAGGCTACAGGTAAAGCTAACTACAGAACAACAATCATATGGAACAGCTTGCTCATTCATAAATTCTCTCTGACATCAAATGGACCAGGTTTTCTCAACCTCCGCCAGTATCTGATTCTTTGTTGTGGGAGCTGTACTGTGCAATGTCGAAGGTACACTACTGGCCTTGCCCCTTCCCACTGGGGAACAGCTGCACCCTACTTCCACCCTACAATCATAACACAATAATTCTCCAGGCTTTGGCCATTATCCTCCAAAGGCCAAAAGTGTCCCCACTTAGGAATCATTGATACAAATCGTGACTGTAGGAAAGGACTCACTAGGAAGAGAATATGCATCCTATGTCTGTACCAGAATAATTTACCCACTAGATGAGGGAGCTGGTTTTCTGAATTATATTTGTCTAATATTATGAACAATGTCAATATCATGAGTCATGTTTGTCAAAAGCGTTACCAAGTTCATGAGAACTAACCAAATGGATTCAAGTGAGGAAGTCAAATTATTAGTTTTTTATAGATCAGTCTAACTATAGCAAATGTGTTAGGGTTCTCCAGAGAAATAGAACCAATGGCATGTGTGTGTGTGTATTTGTGTGTGTGTGTGTGTGTGTGAGTACAGAGAGTGAGAGCATGATTGATAATAGGAATTCACCTCATATAGTTCTTGACAATTCTAAGATCTCTAGGATGAGTCAGCATCTGGAGACCCAGGAGAATTAATGCAAAGGCAGTCGGTAGAAAGAATTCTTACTAGAGAAAAGATTGGCATTTTGCTGTATTCACGCCTTCCATTGACTGAAGGGGGCCCACTTAGACAAATGAGGCCCACCTTCATTAGTGAATCTGACAACTGCAATTAGTCTGCCCATTTGCTCTGCCTACCCATTTCAATATTAAGTGTTAAACGTTAGCTACTGTACTCAGTTTACCAGCTTTATTCAGTCTACCAATTTAAATCTTAATCTCATCTAAAACCCCTCTCAAAAAGATCTGGGCACCCCATGGCCCAGTCAAGTTGACACATAAAATTAATTATTACACACTGGTAAGTATGAAGAAGCAAGATTGTATTCAAAGGGAGCCCAGGAAAAACTGATACATAAATTGGGCCACAATTGTAGTGACTTCAAATGAGAAGAAATTCTTCCACCAATTATTCTAATAGGGGTCACAGCCTGATACATAATAGGAATTTATGGAATTGCTCATTAATATTAGTCAAATTTATTAATGAATATGGATTCATAAATCAAAAACATTTATGAAGAGTTTATTCAATTTTAAAGTTTGAGATGTAGTCCTACATGCCCACGATAAAATGTCTACATTCAATAACTTCACAAGTCCTCTTCAAAACAGAAAATATAATATTATTTCAAACTTTAAGTTCTATTAAGAGTCAGTGTTAGTAAGAGTGCAATGGAAAAGATATTCTTATACACTCATTCTTGGATTCTCTGGATGGAAATCTAACAGCATGAAGAATATTAAAAATGATTTTATCCTTTGGCTTAGTAACCTGTAAGTTTGTATTCTAAGAACTGCATCATGCAATGAAAAATTGAAAGCAGCTTAGTTTCTAACATGGAAGAAAGCACTTATTAGTACCCACCAAGTAAAAATTTCATTTGCAATGACAGTTTGGTGAAATAGGCAATGCTTTAAAAATGTTAACAAATTAAAACACAGAGTTCTGAATATACTATAATCCTAAATGCTCATCTATTTCTTTCCAGTCTTATCTACAGTAACTGGGTCTACAAACCAGAGCTGTGTACAAAAGAGGGAAATAATCTAAATTTATAAAAATATATGTGCATATACATGCACATATTTGCATGTATTTGGAAATTCTTACTCTCTGTTTCATTGAAAGTATTCAAACTTTATCAGTTCAATTTTTACTGAGCAAATATTTTAAATGAAAATGAATAAATGAACGGATGCACCAAATTGCTAATGACCAGATGTCTGCTTTTAACTGCAAACTCCCTATTTGGCTCACAATAGGAGAAAGTAACAAGCTCTTAAAGACTGTCTTTCCAGCGATAATATGCATATCCTGACTGTTTGAAAAGAGCTTTATCAACTTGGGTTTGGAAAGGCATAATCATTTATCAGAATTTTTTGTGCATGGAGTCACATAACCCAATTTAATTATTTTTCAAATTTCTATAAAACTGTGAAGGGCCTCAAAAGGTCTTGCAGCCTGATCTCCGTCCACTGAGACTAACAACTGAGTGTGTATGTGTGTGTGAAGAGACCAGCACAGGCACTCCTTTCATAAGTGTTTCCAGTACTTAAGGACACCCTTTGTCAATTCTTGCTTCAAGTTCAGTCTTCCTTATCTGGCCTTCAGAAAGGATAGAACAGCTGGGTTCCATTCCTCTTATATAATCCTTCAAACATTTTCAGGGAGTTACTTGTTCACTTATTAGTTCCCAACTCTCTCTAACCCCAAGCCCTATGAAGCTATTTTAACCTCATATGTCTATTACAGTGCTTTCTCCACAAATAAGTTGTGTGACTTGGGCCTAAATCCTCATCTTCTCCTAGTAGGATTTCTGAACTGTAAGGCTGATTTAGGATTCACTGCTATGCTAAACACAGCTCTAAAAAGGTTCATGGAGATTGGCTAAATAATGGGAAAAAGTAGGTAAACCCGGATTTCTTGGAGCACTCTCTGTGAAGCACAAAATATTTATAATGTGCTTGATAAACTAATACACTGCTTATAGGAGAAGGTATATGAAGTTATGTTAACTTTCTTCATCAAATTACTACTTAATTACCCTAAATAAGACTTATTCATAGTCTAAAGAAGTCACCATAGATACAAAAGTGTTCACTTTTCTGTCAGGAGAGAATCATCCATAAGGATCTAGCTCTCTGGGTGCCCTCATTCAGTCAGTAAATTTATTGAGGAGGAGGGATACTTTTCTCACAGGATAAATGAAAAAATGAAATGGTAACTTAATATTTTATTACTATTTTAAAATATGCCCAACATTTATAGTTTATGGTGTTACAGAAAAATGAGAAAAGAGTTCCAACAATGGAGAAGACCCCACAATATGACTAAACTATAAATTACTAAAGCATCTAGAGATATGAATAAAAGCTGTTTCTTTTAACTATCTAGTAATTCCATGTGATTGGAATATTTACTAACAAAAATAGAGATTATGTCTTCTGTTATGGTATTCTATGGTATGTGGGGTGTGTTTACCCTACCTATATGATTGCTAGAACAAGGGCAACCGGTGAGAATGGCTTCCTCTCTCTCTCTCTCTCTCCCTCTCTCTCTCTCTCTCTCTCTCTCTCACACACACACACACACACATACACAGTGCGCGTGCATACAGACACACACATACACACAATTCTACAATAACATCATAGTGGAGTTTCCCTTTGCTCCAAATCAAGGCCAGTTTAAAAGTTTAACCATCACTGCCAGAACTTATCTTCAAAATTACAACAAATAATTGAAGTAAAACTTTACACACTTTATATTGTTAAGAAGATTAAAAGAAATGAAGGAGCAGGCAGGCATTGTGACATAACAGGTAAAGATGGTGCCTGTAATGCCAGCATTCCATGTGGGCGCTGGTTTGGGTCCCAACTGCTCCATTTCCAATCCAGCTCTCTGCTAATGACCTGGGAAAAGCAGTGGAACATGGCCCAAGTGTTTGTGCCCTGCCACCCACGTGGGAGTCCCAGATGAAGCTCTGGCGGTTGAAAGATCTTCCTCTGTGTCTCTCCCTCTTTTCTCTGTAACTCCTTCAAATAAATAAATCTTTTTTTAAAAAATTAAAGAAATACATGGCAGTATAAGTCTAACATACATATATATGCACATATTTGTGATTGAATTTTTAGTTAAATTTATATTTATAATCAGCAGTCCAGATAAATAGATATTAATCTAGGTGATACTTTAAATTATTAATAAAAATCTTTAAAATAATAGTTATCTATAATTAGGTAGGCCTTTGCTTTTCAAATGGATTTAAATATTGAATCTATTTTTAAAATTAGATACTTAAGCTCTGCTTTCTTCATTTTTTAAAAAAGATTTATTTATTTTATTTATTTGTTTGAAAAAGTTACAGAGAGGCAGAGGCAGAGAGAAAGAGGCCTTCCATCCACTGGTTCATTCCTCAGGCCCACACCTATTTTTTGCAGCCATTTGGAAAGTGAACAGAGGTTAGATTTCTCTCTCTCTCTCTCTCTCTCTCTCTCTCTAACCAAAGGGGCCGGCACTGTGGGATAGCAGGTTAAATCACTGCCTGTGACAACAGCATCCCAGTTGGGTACCAGTTCAAGTCCAGCAGCAGAGGATGGATGGCCTAAGTGTTTGGGCCCCTGCACACATGTGAGAGACCCAGAAGAAGCTCCTGGACCCTGGTTTCACCCTGGCCCAGCCCTAGCTGTTGCAGCCATTTGGGGAGTGAAGCAGTGCACAGAGATCTCTCTCACACACACACACTCTCACTCTCTCTCTCTCTCTCCCCTGTCTCTGTAACTCTGCCTTTCTAATAAATATAATAAACCTTTAATTTAAAAAAAGAAAAATAAATAGGAAGCTTAGAGAGCGAGATGATTCTCTAGTGATACCAAAGGGACTAAATCTGGAGACTAGAAACTGGAAGAGAAATGAATGGTTTCTCCACCAAATGTAGTTTACACAAAAGCTCTCAGTCCACTATCCTCATAAGGAGAGATCAATACATCCTTGCTAATCACAGAATGTCTGATGATTGCTACAGCAATGTATCTGACTAAATGTGGTTTACTAAAAAGGGATTTTTTATATTTTTTAAAGGATATGTCTATTTTTTAACAAGATCTGTAAAATTTTCTATAAAATTTAGATTAAATAGACATACCTATGATCCTCTTTGGATAAAGATTTTCTTTTCTCAACTTGTCTTTTTTTCCTTCTTATAGCTTCAGTCCCCAAAGGAATAAATGAGACCAGCATTTCATAGATGAGAAATCATATTACACATCATCAAACATCTCTTGATATTATCTGCAGTTGGATAAGCATGGGGGACAGTCCTATTGGACTATTCCAACTTTGGACAATTAAAATTCACCTGCTACATGTCTTAAGCAAGGTAATTTCACCACCACTGGAGGCTTTAAAATGCTAGGAATGGTTGAGAGATACCCTCAACAATGGGACATTATAATTCAACAAATATTTATTAAAAGCAATGCTCATCATAAGTCAATATCTAATTTCTTTGAACAAATGATTTTTTACTTTTTAAAATTTATATAAAGGGAACAAATTTCATATATTTCATATATACAGTTTTAAAAGCATAATGATGCCTCCTACCCAACCCTCCCTCACTCACATCTCCCTCCTCCTTCTTTTCTTATTTTTCTTTTAATTTTTACAATGACATACTTTCAATTTTCTTTATAATCACAAGATTAACCCTCCCCTAAATAAAGAATTCAACAAGTATTATGTAGAAAAATCACCGTTCCTCAAGCTGTAAAAAAAAATAAAATCTTTTTTTTTTTTTCGGACAGGCAGAGTGGACAGTGAGAGAGAGAGACAGAGAGAAAGGTCTTGCTTTGCCGTTGGTTCACCCTCCAATGGCTGCCACGGCTGGCATGCTGCAGCCGGCACACCGCGCTGATCCGATGGCAGGAGCCAGGTACTTATCCTGGTCTCCCATGGGGTGCAGGGCCCAAGGACTTGGGCGCCCCGACCGGGACTAGAACCCGGTGTGCCAGCACCGCAAGGCGTAGATTTAGCCTAGTGAGCCACGGCTCCGGCAATAATGAAATCTTAAAACATCAGTTTTGCTCATATGCATTACATTTTTTGGTAGGGTGATACAACATTTTAATCAGCCTAATTGCATTAAGTGTTTTTCCAGTTCTTCTATTTTTACTCATTCCAAATGAGACATGAATAAATACCTTACTTAATTTTGCATCCATTTCCAGGGCGTTGACCAAGTCTTAAGCAAAATGTCACTGTCTAAACCATTTGCATATGCTGGTGGCTTCTAAACAAATTTCAATATTATTTAAAATGAAATGGCTAACTCAGTCTCAAGCATATTTATATTATCACATTTATCACATACCATAATGGTTTTTAAAAAATCAGGTGAGTGTTGTAGTTTCAGTCAGAAAAACTAAATGAATTCCAACACCTATTCAAGGAGTAGAAAGCAGTACCTGGTTATCTGCAGCACATTCAGGTCAAGATGCTGCTATTCACTGTTTTGACCACACTTAAAACTCAAGAATGTCCCAAAGAAAAGCATTATGACATAACTTTTGGAAACATAGAGAAAACTCCTTAGAACAACCAAAGAAACTGAGGCGTGAGGCAGAGAGCATGGTCCAGGTGGAGCAGGTGATACGGGATGAGCAGAGCTGCAGTCAGCTCGTGTTAACTCAGCAGCTACTGTGGGTCAGGACCACTTGCCACCACTGTAAGAACCACTCCAAGAGTTTAGAATCCTGCAAAATTTATTTCAATATTTAAAATGCAATACTTTGGTTAGAAAAAAATACTGACAGCAAATGAATTATTCTTCACTGACTCATGAATTCACTTGTTTTCCACTCCATATGACTGGGCATTATTCAAGTCATGTTCATAAATCATACTCGTAACATGATACCTTCTTGGGTGAGGTTTCAGTGAGGAAAATTTTAAGCAGATTGGCATGAGGAAAGAAAGACCTCTCCTAAGTGTTCTTAGAGAATGTCACTCCGACATTGACGGGCGGCATCAAGTCCCTCCATCCATTTTATAGTATGATTAGGACCACAGGCAATGGATGTGGACAGTAGCTGCTTTATCCATTTCTCCCACATTAACAGAATGCCATCAATATTGCTTTTCTTTTTAAAGTTAGTGTCTCAAAGATATCATTTTACATTTTAAGTGAAAACATTTGACATGCAATATGATAGTACACCCTGTCTTTAACTTCCTGGGCCTCAGCATTATCATATTCTACTCTTTACACTTGATCCTTTTCCATGGTAACACACTTGAACTTTGAAAAAAAAAGTCAGCTATATTCAATTGTTAAACGTCTTTAGTGCTAATTCATTGTGAATTTAGTGAACTTGTCCAATACAGATGAAAATAGTTCCTGTCCCAAATGCAACAAGTATTCACTTAAAATAACCTGGATATCTTGCCAATAATCTTCTCACTGTGGCCTGAGTGCCCAAGAGCTTTCAAACACAAATATGCCTAAGGAATAATATGGACATTTCATCTCTAGATAATTTCATTCAAAACAAGGCCAAATTCTCTCTTGGAGTTGTCTGTCTACCTGCATAATTACTGAGTAACCTGTTCCTTTTCTAATCACAAACTTGATCCAAAGCCAATAGGGCACTGGTGTCTAAGGAGTTAATTAGTATAAATGCAAGGGTACACGCTGGGACTTCTCCTGGGTTGGTTTTCTACTGAAAGAAACCAAAATTACACACACCCGTGATTCATGAAAACGCCTCTCTTCTGTTCAATTTGAAAGGTTCCCATTTTGAAACTACATGGAAGTGACTAATTACATATTTGGGCTTCTCTGATATGCAGGACAAAAGGATTGTTTATGCTCTAAAGAAATTTGTTTAGCGAGTTTCATAGTAATCTTACACGCTAAAAATTGTATTTTGTTAAATGATTGTGAGGCCACAAAGAGATACAATATTTTATATTCTGCATTGCATTTTCTTTGTTACTTTTAATTCTAATGCTGTGAAATTCTAGCAGAGGAGTGGATAAGGGGAGGGTTGCAGGTGGGAGGGACGTTATGGGGGGAAGCCATTGTAATCAATATTCTGTACTTTGGAAATTTATATTCATTAAATAAAAGTTAAAAAAATTAATTATTTAAAAAAAGTTACATATTCAGTCTACATCAAAGACTTATATTTCATTTATGTGCTTGTACATATATTATATGTTATATATTAAGGCTGTACCATGCACATGTATATTTTATCACTAATATTAAATAATTAAATAAAGTCCTTTAAGTATTTAATTGAAAAATAAATAAATAAATAAATAGGAAAGAAATAATCACATGGGTACATAGAACCACGTTTATATTAATACTAATTCAGAAAAGTTATTTCAGTATTTTTAGAAAAACATAATGAGAGATAATAATGTATGGACAGTAAGCATTAACAAAACTTGGGAATTGGGTGGCTTTTAAAACAAATGGACATACTATAGTTTATGCCCACAATCCTTTTTCAGCAGAGTAAATCCTAGAAGACACATATTGAGCTATACAAAAAATAATAATCTCAGCCCAAGATCTAAAGTTACAGCTTGGAAAAAGGTTTTTGCCTTTTTTCTCTTAGAAGAAAAGAAAAAAATTAGGAAGGGAAACATAGAGGGGAAGCAAGAGTGATAAGAAACAAAAGAGAGAAAGAGCAAAAAAGAGAGAAAGAGAAAAAAGAAAGAAGGAAGGAAGGAAGAGAAAAAAGAAAAGAGAGAAAAGGAGAACGGGCTAATTGTTCTCTGCTAGTGTACGCTTTACTCAAACCAAAAACAATTTGTGGGCAACATAATTTTAAAAACAAAATTATCCACATGAGTGTGTGTGTGTTTCTCTAGTCTCTCTTTACATTCAGCCCACAAAAGGGTTCCCTTCATTCATTTTACAGGGTGGCCTCCAACTCAAAACACTGGATCCAAGACTGACATTTGATTTTGCCTTTAATATATTACATAACCCTGAAGTTATTGAATCTGTAGGTGAAAAGAATCTTCTTCTGAATTTACCAGTATAATCTGTTAAATAAAAGAGATGCTCACTCTTTGCTGAAGCATTCCATGAGAGGTTAGTCTCTGAGCGTTAGTGTTGAGTATGTATGCACACTCAGCAGAACACAAAATCATTCTCAGTAGTCAAACACCCTTGTTCAAAAGAAAAGTACCAAGTCTTGTTTGGAACTCAAAACCTGTTTAACCAAGGGCCTGGGCTGTGGCTCAGTGAGCATCACCGGCATTACCAGCATCCCATACGGGGGATAGTTTGAGTCCCGGCTTCTCCACTTCTGACCCAGCTCCCTGCTAATGTGCCCAGGAAAGCAACAGAGGAGGTCCAAGTGTTTGGGCCTCTGCACCCACATGGGAGACCAGGATGCTGGCTTCTGGCTTCAGCCTGGCTCAGCCCTGGCCATTGTGGCCATTTAGGGAATGAATCAGCAAGAGGAAGATTCTCTCTCTCTCTCTCTCTCTCTTTCTCTCTTTCTCTCTTTCTCCCTTTCTCTCTCTCCCCCCTCCTCTGAGTAACTGCCTTTCAAATAAATAAATACATCTTAAAAATATATTTAAATGAAAAAAGTGATGTCTTCCTCACGATATGACCCAGTTCCCTCCATCATAACCTGCTTAGCCTACAATGTAACAATGTATATTGCCATGGAATTTTAAATGCAGAGATCAGAAGATATGGGTGATAATGCAACAAAACAAAAAAGGAAATTCTTCTTCACTCTTAGAGGAAGGGCTCGTGCTAGGAAAAACTTTGAAACTTGAAACATTCCCTCACACACATCTTTTTGGTCCTCCATTTCCATCTTCGAATTTCCTTAACCTAGTTTCCCCTTTGCTTAGGAGATTGCTAAGCCCTCCCTAAGCAAACTGCTTCAACAACCCCCGTAAATGCCTATCCCCTTCACTCTGTGCAGCACCTATTAACCGGATTTTAGAAAGAAATGTGAGTACGTTTCATCTTCTCAACTGTTCTTTGAATAGTTTTCAATGGTGCTCTTTGTTCATTTGTTTTGTTTGCTAATCTTGCGTAGAATTCTATCCTAATTAGTCCACAGTGTTTGGAGTATCTGCATGCATAACCTTTTAGGGCTTTGCTCTAGGTGTGACATTCTATGTGCGTATCTTTCGCAGTCTAGTAGTATTGGTATTTTACCAGTTAGGCATGTGGAAACTTCAGGTACCTTTGCCCTTCTCCCAAACAATGTAATTGCCTTAAACATTTCCTCCATATACACTGAGAA